CACTTATTAGTGCCTCCCCCGGGCCAGGAATCCCCCCCTCCAAAGTGTCATCAATCATCAAGGTGAACTACTTGCTCGGAAGGCCATTCCGCCTGCAAAGCCGCCAGCCAAAAAGAGAGTGGTCGATCGCAGGCCTTGCCTTTATGCGAACAGCATTCCCCGTCCATTCCGACGGCACCACTAGTATCAGAAGAGCAACTTATGCGCCGCATCTCCTATTCGTTCTGGCGAGACACTTTATGAGTTATCGTATCTCGCACAAGGTCAGCATTCGTGCTCGTACGAAGTGTTTTGGTAACATCTTACCTCTCAATCACGCCTACCTGCCTACCTTGTAAAGTACACTCCTCCATGTGCGGGTATATTCAGGTACCTGCCAACTGCTGCTTCTCGCAGGCCTGTTCCGGGTCTGGCCCATTGAGCGAATCAGATCGTGCAGGATACATTCTGGCACCAGAATACCACCTTGGACACCTTAGCTCCATATCCGGAAATTCGTCATTCAATACCCGGCGCTATCAACCTTTCAGATGCCCATGTCTCGCATGGATAGGGCATGTACATGCGCTGCTTCGAATGATACCTTTTTGCCCCCACGTCATATCGAATTGTGTGGTGCCAATGGCTTTTCTTTTTCTCCCCTCCCACACACTACCATTACACACTCAATCAAGTCTTTGTGAAACACAACCTTGCATGTTGGGAATTGACTCCCTGCATAAACGCAAGAAACAAGTGGCTCATGTACTTCTCCCAAAACACATACCGAGTAATTGGTCTATGCACTTGCATGCGTCTCCTTGTTCCTTGTTTCTGTGCATGTGCCCAACGCCGGTAGTCGAGAGCATTGTATACCTGAAATCGCGGATGCGGCACCGTAATGAGAGTCGCAAAACAAAATGTGTCTCGTAAAGATCATAATATATTAACGTACATGCTACATCTAATCTACAAATAGAACACGATGGTATCAAAAAAAAGCGCCCTGGTTCCCTTAGGCAGAATACCCATGCAGATGTTTCGCCGGCTGCAGAGCTCGTGCCAAATTAATTGCCTTGTCCAAAAAAAGAAAAAGAAAGGAAAAGAAAAGAAATTTGCCCAAAATTTTTGTTTTTCCCAAGCCCTCCAGACTCCGCCCCTTGACAATGGAGCTATTCCCGTGCTGCCCAGTGTATAAGTAAAATCTCTCTTTTTTTTTTGTGTCTTCTCTTTCGAAAGCTGATAAGAAAGGAAAAGCGCCCAAACCGAGGGGGAAAAACAGGTAGAAAAAAGAAGAAGAAAAAACCCCAAGAGGACACAAGTGTGCAGACGAGCAATTGGTGTCATTTGTGTCGGAAAATGAAAGATAGACGGATTCGATTTTTTTTTTTGGCGTAAGTCGACTTTTCTTTAATATATATATGCCCTGGCAGGGCGTTTTTGAGAGATGCCCCTTGTGTAAAGGAGATTCGAGAAATTGGCCAAGTATCAGAGACTTCAACGCGGGAAGAATGGTTTGATAGAGTCATTTGAAATGGCAAGTTTCGTAATCATAGAGTTGAAAACTATGTCAAACCGTTTAGTATGGCTAATTTGGCAATATTCGTGGTCTGATGATGTAACTCACACTATTCATGATAATGCTCAGAGTCGCAAGGAGTGCCGCAATAACCGCAGCATCGACCAGGAATGACCCAAACCTCTTTGCCTTGTTGGGCACAGGTTGGGCATCTGGTGCCGGGGACCTACATTAAAGGTTAGTATCAGAGAGAACACGGTAACAGACATGAATGAAAGCTTTCTTTTCTAACCTTGGGCCCTAGCACGATGATACCGGCAGGCATGGCCGAGGGCTTTGAGGAATCCTGTTGTCCTGCCACGAGAGGAAAGACAGGGGCTCGGATGGCACGGAGAGTGTGTGTGAGAGGCATTGTTGTGTTATGAAATATCTGAGGAGGAAGATGTATATCAGGCGATGAGTGTCCCGGTCGAGTTAACAGAAGAATAGACCAATGTGACAATGGTTCAAAATAGTAGTGGAGGTAGCAGAGGCAGTGGCAATGGCAGAAGCAGAGGCAGTGGCAGTAGCAGTAGCAGTAGCAGTAGAAGTAGCAGTAGAAGTAGCAGTTAGCTCTTGATGTTGGTGTTGGTGTTGGTGTTGGGACAGACAAAATGGCAATGGCAATGGTGTTGGGGCTGGGCAGACGAGGCGTCTTATATGTCGAGCCGGATCCAACGTGGGGTTAGATAGAATAAAAAAGGGCCCGGCGAAAGGCCTCTAGAGACAGTTGAAACCAAGACAGGCTTGGTCTTGATCAGATCGAGAGCCAAAAAAAAAAGCGTGTGGGGCCGACTGACATTTGTTTGTGCTTTTGGGCCGGCGTCTATCAGATTATACAGAGCTCTCCAGGAACACCAGAATTTGGTGACAAGTCGATGGCGCTAGGTGGAAGACTGGAGACGGGCGCGCTGGGGAGGGGCGGCACCAGCAAAAGGCAAAAAGCAAAACGCAGCCATGGCCAGAGCTAATGCGGGCAGCGGCCAAGCTATCCGTCCGTTGATCGGGAGGCCGATGTCTCGAGAAGAGCAGAAGGGACCGTGTGTTGGGGGTGGACTTTGCGAGTTGGCAGCCGTGGGAGGCAGCAGACATGTCATATCGGCTGTGAGACGCTGGACGACGTGCTCGCCATGTACTTGCACAAGTGCAGCGTCACAGGCAGTACCGGCGGCACGGCGGCGCTGGGCAGCCGGGCCGTGTACCTGGCAGTACCGGTACGGGCATCTCCGCGTGGGCGAGAAGGGCACTCTGTGCATCTCTGGCCCTTTTGGGGTGGCTCTAGGACCGCCAGAGGCTTCCAGGGGGGCGTGCGGTAGAGACGGTGCGGCGGCTCTTGAGAGCTGGAGCAGGAAGAAGAAAGGAAGCAAAGAAGATGGGGAAGCTATACTTGTCGCAAGGGAATGCAGGCCAGGGCCGGGGGGGCAGGCTGGGGCACGGCAAACAGACTCAGATGAACAGCGATTCAGGCGCGGGCTCGACATTCCCATTGGCAGCGCCGGCGTGGAACTGGTCCAGGAACCTGGTAGAGGATGGATGCTGGTCCAGTGTTGTATCTGAGCCGGGGCCCTGGCCCCCTTTGTCCCAGGGCCGGGCAAAGTAAGGGAGCACGCAGTCAGTCAGTCAGTCACTAAGCCGGCCAGGCGCTGGTAGCGTGACGCATGGTGCTGGCCCGGATGCATGTATGAACGCTGCCGGTACTTGGACGGTATGCTCATGCTCACGTTGATGCTCCCGTACGGAGTAACGGTGATACGGCGAGCTGGAAGCTGATGCCTGGGCCTGTCTGGGAGCAGCGCAGAGCAGCGCAGAGCAGAACAGCTTCGGGGAGATGGCGATTGCTGCCGGCGCTTGGCTTGTTTGATGTGCATCATGATGGGCCGAACAACGAATTCAAAGCTAGCAAAAGTAGGTGCCCAGGATTTGGGACGAGTGTCAGTTGGTGTTTAGTATTGCCATTGGCAGCAGCAATTGCAATCACATCAGCATTAGCAATACCATTAGCAATTCTAGTCCCATGGCGTAGTGGCATATAGGAGATTGGCATCATGGTATGGACGTCATGGTCCAGCAGGTAGAGAAAGACAATGCTGTAGAGCCAGAATCAAGGATCGGGTGACCAGGGTCGCGACGAGAACCGGGCCACCTGTGCCTGTGCATATGCACAGAGATGAAGCATCACTAGTCGTGAAGAGAAACAAGGTACTGTAGGTGGGTAGGTGGAAGAGACATGGAGATGAGAGTGGGATGGGGCTGCAAGGTGAGAGAGATGCGGTGGAATGGAGCCGGCAGTCGCTCCAGCCCGTGTTCCGATTACATTTGATGTAATGATGGCAGTGGCTTCTGCGTCTCAATGCCAGAATCAGGCGCCTAGGAATCAAGCAGTGCTCTGCTATCAAATCTTAGCCAGGCCTGCCTGCGTTAGCTGCTGCTGCAGTGCGACTGTTGCCGGGTCCTACCTGGCATGTCTTGGAGCACTAATGCCGCTGCAAGCAAGGCGTGGACAGCTCCAAGTACGAGGAGGACCACAGATACATGCCTACCTAGCTGGACATGTAGGGTGATGCTTCTAGTACAGGTACGCCGCAGGCAATTTAGCATTAGCTGAGCGCTGCACGCACGTCGGTGGAGCGCCTAGAGCTCGCCAATGGCCCAGCTGCGTTACCGCCCTCAAGCTGCTGGGGCTAGCATGGCCCTGCGGCTGCTGGGGCTAGCATGGCCCTGCGGCTGCCAATGGCCATCTCCAGCTGCCACGATTCGATCTTGCTTGTTGGAAAGCGAGGCTACCGACAGGACGACGAGCCCACTATTAATAGCCCGCACGGGACTAGCAAGCCTGAGCAACTGATTAGCATCGTTCGTAGGACTCAATGTACTGAATAGTAGGTGCATCAAGGTCGTATTGCTACAGGCACGGCTGCAGATACATGTACCCAACGAACGCTGCTGGCAGATACTGAGCTATACAGGTGGACTACATTGATGTCTACGCTAGTTGCAACCTAAGCTGAATGTACACTGCTTGTCTGCTTGGGCAGTGGCGCCATCCAGACTTCCAGGCTACTGAGTACCACTACAGTACCTGGTAAGGCACCGGACAACAAGGGACAGGCAGGGACGGGCAAGTGCCAATCGGTGCAGCGCCAGCCGTGGCCTGTTTCTAGCCTGCGTCGAATCTCCATCTCAACATCTCGAACATCGTAGTTGGAAGCCGTTCGTGCTGGTTGCACCATCAGCGCAAGCCACTCGGCGTCATGTTGGCGCCACCGGCCGCTGTCCCAAGCTCATGGCGCCGATGCGATGCCCTTTTGGTAGTCGCCGACGGCATCGGACAAGCGCTGCAGGGCCCGGCAAATGAGATGCAAGCCGGCAAAAGCCTGTGTCGTGCTACGGCTGGATGCCCAATGCTGGCGGGAAGGGCGTTGTTGGACTTGCTTCGTTCTCTCTGCTGCCGTCTGGTTCGTCTGCTTGCTCCCCTCCCACTCATGGCACACGCCCTCTCCCCCAAAAGGCAAAAGGGGGAAAGGGAAAAGAAGAGAAATCTGCTGCTAACCATGTACTACTGGGCAGAGCCATGAATCCTGCGGCAGCATACCGAGCGGCTTGGCTGGCGTTGCGTTGCGTTGCGTTGCGTCGCGTTGCGTTGCTTCTAGAGCCAGACTGAGAGACAGGGATGGTTGGGGGTCAGAGCAAATGATAGTGACTGCTGGATGGATTGCAAGCAAGTCAGTAATTATGACGATACTCTGCCTCTCCCTCCCTCTCTCCCTTGTTCCCTGATGCAAATTACTCATCACCTCCAAAGGCAAGCCTACTGTACCAAGACGCACGCCGATTAGGCACACGGCATCCACCCCTCACCACGTACAGTATCTTATATGGAGTTGGAGTACAGTACCTACCTTTTAGAACGCTGTCTAGATGCCATTCTCTCTGGGCTAGCTCCACGCCCAGCGCTGCGTCAGACCCCAGAGAGCAGACGATGAAAAGCAATGGCTCGAGACAAAGTCCACTTCTGCAGCCTGGCAACGTACGAGACCACCCGCTTTGGGGTCGTACGTTGAGCGCGTGATTTCCCGCATGCCTGTTCTTCTGTGACGGAAAAAGCATCGACGAGGCGCCTCCTTCATTTCCTAGCATGCATGCAGCCGCCCACCGAGTTGTTCCAGAGCATACATCAAGCCCTAAGCGGAGAGGGACAGATACTTGTTCAAGCACACAAGAGGGTGGATGGTGGCCCAGCGGTAAGCAGAGTGGCGGCGGTGACTTACACGGGCCGGATCACATCCAGGAAGCCATGGATGAGCAAACATGCGCTCACGAGTAGCCCAAAGACAAGGTAAAGTAAGAGAGCCGCTCTGCTGTGCGTGGGGCGGCTTAATTTCTAGCCTCCGCACTTCACTCCACAGAGTCCGAGATAAATTACGCTTACCAGCAGCAGCAGCCTTCACACAGGCACGAGGCGCGCTTTGCCGACATCACGATGAGTTACGCGAGCACAGAAAGGGCAACAAGAGAAGAAAAGGCGATGGATGATATTGGGCGCCAACGGTGAATAAGTGCCATGTACATGTATAGCCTCCACTCCTCGCCGTCGGCGGCGACTATTGCTAGCTACGATGACGGTCTGCTGCAGCTTCGCCCCCAAACCCCCGCGACGATCCTCTCAGATAACCCCTGAGACCCAATGCTAGCCTGCGGATGCGAGGCGCGATTCGCAACTCGGCTCTGCGAGGGTACTCTGCTATACGAGTACCTAGTACATACGTACTGGTCGCAATATAAGGTACTGCGCTCAGTAGTAGTACTTACATACGTGCACTATCATTCCTTCGCATGGTATCCCGCGTTGTACAACTGAGAATACAGCTTTGAGTAAGGCGCGGGAGCAGGCCGTGCACTGTCCTCTTTTATTTTTATTTTATTCCAATTTTCCAGGTGAGAATGGCTAAACTGGTACTAGGCACTGCGTATTACCTGTACTCTCGCTACCGGATTCAGCAAGGAGCAGCTCCGTCATCCTACATCTTGCATCAGATATCTCGCACAACCATCGCCCCCCAGATACAGGAGATCCCGGTCGCCGGGAACTTTACGAACACTCCGTGCAGCTCTACTAGTTTTAAATCTTTCGATGAGACTCATGCAAGTCTACGGCATGCGCCGTGTGCTCATAAAAAAAGGGGGGGGCGCCGCCAGAAGGGGGCTGCGGTTGCTTGTTACATGTCCAATCAGTTTTGTTCTGATGGCCGTCTCTTACATGGCTCTACATGGCTCTACTCCTCCTTAATAACTTCCAGAAGGCCGGACCACATACTACATACGAGCACATATGAGTAGTATACGAGAGCAGCACATGGAATCTGCCTTGGTTGCCAATGCTAAATGAACCCAGGTAGGAAGCTTACTCCTACTCCATACTTGGACATACTGCTCATTGCTCCACCGACTTACCTACCTGAAGAGCAACATGCACACAGTACAGTAGCAAGCAATATCCAGGATGCAACCACGCCGCACTCGTAATACCTACTAGACTACCTACTTACTGCCTTTTGCTTGGTAGGGTACACCCACACACCACGCTGATGACAGGTACGGAGTACAGGCTGCACACATGTGCCCCCAGCTAGCGCAGCTGGATTTCTGCTGTGATGGGAAAACCACTTGGGAGATGGACCAGGGTGCTCCGCGGCACCGCATTGGTTGCCGGCAGGAGGCTGAGCCACTAGGAGCAAACCCGGGCCAGAGCTGCTAAAAACTTGCGGATCACAGCCGGTTTCGATGCAGGGCAACTTGCAAATGGGATGGAATGCCGACGGCAGGCTTGTATGCAGAAGCGGACGGTGGGTAAAACATGCTTATGGAGTACCTACCATCCTACGGCCGGGCTAATGCTTCATACATCCAGCCTCCTCTCGACTCGTGTGATAGTCTGACGCCTCATGTTGGCAAATGTTCCGGACAGTCAGCGACAACAGTAATATCGATACCACTGGGTTTTGTTCCCTTTCTCTACCGACAAGGGGCTGAGTTTGAAAGATTACAAAGGGGCAAAGAGTTATTCCGCAGGGCTTGCGTACTAGCTGGGCGGTCCAGAACACCCCAGAGCGCCCAGTTATTCGGCCATGCTTCTTCACCACTCCGCGAGACTACCCGGAAAGCTTCCGCAGCTGCTAATCTTTGGAAGACAACGGCCATTATAGGTAGGTATGCACAAAGGCTTTTCGCATACAAGGCATGGGACCTCTTGGTATTGCACTCTGGACGTGGGCGTCCACTCATGTTGGACATACATACATATGTGCCAGTGCCCCATGCATCGCTAGAAAGGACGAATACGCTAGCGATGCATCGGGTCCTTGGTTTGGGCTCACGATGCTCGTTGAATCTTGTCGCTTTGGCAGCCATACAGATGGCGCTATCGCCAACTTGTGCCGCGGAGACATCATGGCCATCGCCACAATCATTTAACTCCGTTGGTCCTAGGGCTTGCTCGTTTCGCAGACGTAGGCCAATTTCGATCAAAAGGCCCTCAGTTTGCTTCATCCTCTTGACTCCATTTTCCCGTATTTTTTACTCCCTCGTTTCGTCACTCCTCATTTCTCACTATCGCTTATCATCTCTCAGAAAAGTGCCCCCAACTGCTAATCATTTTGCATACTACTAGTACCTAGTACCGTGTACACCAGTGTGCCGTACTTGCAGGAGCAATATACCCCACCCACGCTATTGAAATGATACTCTCGCTTTGCTTTGATCGGCCCACTGGCTTGTACTTGGCAGAGCATTGTTTCTCCCTGCCTCGAAGACGCAAACTGCTGCGACATGTACAGAGTACAGGATAGGGCACGGGTACCGGTAGGCTATACAGCCGTCTCTAGCACTGACGACCCCACCATCAATCTGCTTTTAGATCGCTCTTCATATCCTTGCCCATGTTGAGAGGCAGGCCCATCTATGCTTACCACTACCACTACTACCTTATTCTGTCATAGCAGTCTACTTGTACAGTAGGCGTGCCTGTAGATGCAGAGCACCGAGTACTTCGTACCTGACATTGCTTTTATCCTGGGATCAAGCTCGCTAGCATTCACTCGTACTAGCGAATTGTGAGTATTTAGTGGGCACGGGATATAAGACTACACACACTAAAGCAACTCTCTATTAGGCGAGTAGGTATCGTGTGTCAAGTCCAAAATTGACAAACAAACAGTAACGTCAACTACCAAAGCCAATACGTGCTTATACGAAATACGAGTAACTACGTTACAGGCAGAGTAAATACCCTTACAACCAAGTACCTGCCCACAGCGATACCTATCCACACATGATAGGTCACAACTTGCAGCATAGGCACTGGCCCGACTTAAAGGGCAGCCCTATCGTCATCTGAATAGAACACCTTGCAGTTCGGGCCTTTCACGCATGGCTGAGCATCCGGTATTTCCGATCTGAGAGCTTCTTTCTTCTTCTTCTTCTTCTTCTTCTTCTTCTTCTTCTTCTTCTTCTTCTTCTTCTTCTTCTTCTTCTTCTTCTTCTCCTCCTCCTCCTTCTTCTTCTTCTTAGCTTTCTCTGTCTGCTCTTTCTCTTGCAGACTATACCGATACTTGGTTCCACATTTAGACAGTATTCTGAGTACCTGGACAGTCTCGAGATGATTTTCAGTGAGTGCGCTGTGTCTGTCTTCGTCTCTCGCTTCCTGAGTTGCTGTGGTGCATTCCCTAATCGATAGACTACCAATGTCTGCCTCCTTACTTTTTTGATATGCGTTTATAGGCAATGTTCATGGTTGTAGACAATCATCGCCTTCTCTTCCCATGCTCTTCATGTGGGCCTACCTTACACACTGGTACAAAGTTGGACCGCCTCGCCCCCATCCATGGCATACTGTACATTATATATCGGCTGCCAGGGCCATTGCCCATATGGGTGGTCCAATGCTTCTCCATAGGCTCGCAAGTGCCTTACAGGTAAAGGATCCGCATAGACTACCACCTAGTAATGTGCCAGAGTTACATTGAGATGGGGGAGCACATGCGCGCACGTACAGGTACCCCGGCCACTCAAAGGATCACCAGCCCTGTGCATGTACGTGTACTTGCACGAAGACAATGACCCTGAGGTCATCACGGTCCAGGATTCATGTTAGATAGGCGGCTCGTCTACTTTGCCGCATGCAGGCTGGCGCGGCTAGAACAGGCGAGAACAGACGGGGCGCCGCCCTCGGCAGGCTAGAAGAGAAACAAAATTCTGGAGCTTCTCTGCTGCTGCCCCATTCGAAGCATCCTCCACCTGCGATGCTCAGAATTTGGATTCATCCTTTGGCCTGACTATCTCGGGATTCCATGCCAGCCGCGCTCGACAGTCAATGGAACAGGGGGCTTCCGCGATTCCTCCTCTTGCTCCTCAGTCTAATATCCTGACGCCACTGCTCTGGTGATCAGGCGAAAATGTCTGACGCTCTCACGCACAGAAGAGCCCAGCAACCCGGGTGACGGCCGCTTTTGGTGACCGACGCAGACTGAGACTTTGATCCTACCGCCAGCACGACGATCTGCATCCAAAGGGCAAGCAGACCTAAACGAAGCACGCAGCAAAGAACATTTCCCACTTGCTTACAGCGGCCACCAAGGACTTGGACGCAAATGAGCGTCTCGTGACAGCCCTTAGCACTGAGGTCGCCGCTTAGCCAACACCGACATCATCTGGGTCCGCCGGCGGGTGCATACAGACAACGCGCAGCATCCTTCTGCTCATATCTTTTCGACGGGGCCGTGCCGCGGATATGGGTTAAACTACCGCTTTGTGCTACTGCCAGTAGTGAAAAGATACCAAATTACGACATGTTCCATTCCGGCAGAGGGAGAGAGGGGGAAACGGATACAGCGACACGAGAAGCACGTATTGCGGCTGTCATTTCTCAGATGAAGCTTTCTCTCTCTTTCGGCTCGACGGTCAGGCGACAAAGTTGAACGGTAAACGCAAAACTAGTCTTGCGCAGTTTAGCCAGGGGAACCCAGCGAGAGCGCTATTGACAGAACAGACCCCCTTTTTTCCCCCCAAGCTTTTCCTTCTCTCGTCAGAAATTGCGAAGCGCGTACGGCTTTTTTCCATGGTGAGTATCCTACTTGTCATTATTACTCGTATGTTCAAATCTAAGTTCACCTGTATACAAGCATCCCCCGTCCAAAGACGCATTTTGCCACAATCATGCCGTAGCAATTCACTGCCAAGACGGCTGTAACATAAGTTGGCCTGGTGAGCACTGGCAATGCTTCCCTTCCTTTCTTCTTCACTCTTCTTTCTTCCCTCTTTGTGTTTTCAAGCACTCAGGGTACCAATTCAATGCTGATCCAATTTGATTTTTGTTGCAAGCTTTGCCTTTTTTCCCCCTTTTGTCAGACATTAGCGGTTGTTGAAATTAAAACCCTACCGCTCTATTATTACCGTGGACTTTACGATATCCGACGGAGCCTATACCGTACAAAAGGCAAGGTCCGAGGACGCCAGTTACTATCCCACACAGTATCTCTCTACGAAAATAGGCTGTCTAGGGTATACATTCTCCATATCCTTCACTCTAACATCTCTATACCCAGCAAAAGACAGAAAGAGAGGGACAGAGAGACAGAGAGACAGAACAAGACGCGACGAAAACCCTCGTTTTCACGCCTTCATTCCCCACTTCGCCATCTCAGCGGTTGCATAGACTAGTGGGTCACAGGCTTGCAGACTACTGGGCCTGCTACCTTGTAGTAGTAGAATCTACCCCAGTCACCGGGCTCTTTGAGATTGCGGATACTGAACTGCAGAGCACTAGGTATGTACTACCTACTGTAGTATGGAGTACGCGGTAGTGCTGGACTAGGAATTAATGCTAAAGTGTCCTTCTGATACAACTCTTGGACAGATCCTAGGCTGAGTTGCGAGCATAAAGACGCGGGGAGGGATCCTCTTCATAACCGAGAACCAATCAGTGTTAAAGCAATCAATAGGCCAGCAGCAATGCCGCCAACGGCGGATTTCAGAACCCCAGACGCCTTGGCAAAACAGAGTTTCGACGTGCTTCAGTTACAACAGTCTGCTGCATACCGCATCATGGCAGTGCCCAAAGACGCCCGTGCTATCCGTACCTCTGAGCTCTGCGAACGGAGAGGGGGTAGACGACAGGTGACGCATATTAGCAGTTCTAAAACTGTTCTCTTCTTTTTCGCAGTCCCGATCCCAACACGAGTAAAAGGGTTGATTTTGCCAACTTCTACCCGCCAATACTCGCGGCCGTGGCCAACTTGAAACAGAGCGTCGAGCTTGTGGCACAAAATTTGTTGGCGCAACATATGGAACAAGGGCAGCCCAAGTCAAAGCTGCCTTTTTCCTTTAAACCTCGTACCACTGAGGTCTAGCCCTTCAGGACAGAGGCCATAGCGGCGCTTCTAGGACTACGCTGCTTATAACATGCCATCGCCCAAGCTAGATTATCAAAGCGGAGCTTTCTGGGATCAGGGGAAAGATCAGCCAAGCCGCCAGTGGAAGGATGTCTTACATACACCGACGGGAGGACTATTAAACCACATCCTAAGCGTGACAGAGGACCCCCTCGAAGATATTTCTTAGCGCCCAACAAGTGTTTAGGCACAACAAACCTCCTGCCTGGCAATATGCAGCTTACATATGCTGCAGTACTACGTGATATGAGTATTACAAAGCACTCGATCCCAGAAAGCCTGCTTAGGCACAACGAGCATTGTCAATTTCATGCTTCGCGTTCAGTGCAGTATGCTTGCATCGGAACGACTACCATGGCTCTCGTTTCTTGAATCAGATAGCTTCAGTGAAGAAGCCACGCGAGTGACAGAGCCATGTAGTAGTATGTATAAGCAGAATTCATATAATTACCACACCACAAACCAATCATCAGCGTGATTTTGATCTAGGGAACCTTCCAAAGCTTGTCATTGACAAGGTATGCATATATACCCGGTTCCCGTGACCACACCTTCTTGTTCGCTGTCTTGATCTGCCTGACGGCGACTTGGAGGGAGGGGGCGTGAGACGAGGAGAGATTGAAGAAATTCAAATTTTCCTCTCACCAGAGAAGCGCTTTTAATTTGTCGCAGCCAGGGGATTTGTTGGTTCTATGACACCACGATTGTGACCTGATTAATATGTTGCTATGATTTCCTAAGCCGGGTTTCATACATACATGCGTGTTTCAGAGGCGCTTGGCTTTATCTCACCAACCGCTAACCAGAACGGATTATGGTCTCTTAGCATGGCAAATACGGATTCTACAGCGTCTTTCCAAGTTTTGCTACCCCTTTGCGGACCAGCCAATGGCTTGGGTGGCATACTACTACTACCTAGTTGTAGTTGGCGTGATTAGGTTCGGTCTTTATATGTTGACGCAGGTGCCAAACCCCCGGCCGCATGAAGATTGCGCTTGGGCTCCTCTGCCCCTTGGTCTATTCTGCAGCGGAAGAAGTCCGTCTAGGCAGCCATCGGGTTGTGGCTCCGGGCAAGCGGCAGCAACTACGAGCTATCTCGCACCATCACACCACATAGCGATGAAGCACTACCACCCCTTGGTGATGGATGATGGCATAAAGCTGGCCTCGATCGGCGAAGACTGCGGCCCCGGGAGAGACCTCTTGTTTCTACAACAAATTAAAGAAAAACAAGCCTATCCGGCTAAACTAGAACGCATCGGAATGCCCTGCTCCGCAGACATTTCCCTGCCGGGCATATATAGCTCGAGACACCTGGACCAATAGAAAGACAACGCTCACGACCTAACAGATGACAGCAAACCCTCTCGACAGACTGTGCTTGTTTCTTATGCCCAAGTCTGTCTTCCCCCACTTCGAAAAGGGGGATAGAGGGAGGGAAGGAGGGAGGGAAGGAGGGAGGAAAAGAAGTCGCACCATGGACGATGTTGGTTCTCACTGGGTGACGTGTCGACGGCAACTATGACATGACAAGATGCGGCTTGCCAGACCGACACAGACCACCACGCCACACACGACTCATCGTTTATGACGTCCGTACTTTGGTTTGGACAGCAGCATGTTTCACCGCATCGCCAACAGTCAAGAGGCCACCGAGCAACGATGATAGCTTACAGACTGGATGGTTTTCAACAGAGTTGAATGGCGACAAGACTCGTACTCGGCTGGTAGCGAAGCTCGTGCCCGGCCACCGACCGTCGATAGTGGACCCTCGTCCATTCCGTGACCCCATACGCATGTCTGCCGGCGACGGTGAGTGGATGATATTGTGTTACGGCGGGTTCTTATTCTGGACGCTGCGGATACAGCCGCATCCGACAATTAGCAGAATGGAGAAATAAGACATCAGCCGTTTACCAATCACCTGCATCGGCAAACAGCATCGTGATAAGTACCGCCGCCGCCGGCGCCGCCGCAAGTCTCAGGACATGCCCGATGGACGCCACTAGCCATTTGCTCGCTCAAACGGCGAGAGAGAGAGAGGGAGACAGAGAGGGTTGAAGGAAGTCTTGGAGCCCCGGGCCAGCGGCGAGCCAAGAAACATCTAATTGGTTCGCTACTTTAATCGTAATGGCTGTGTTCTAAGTTCCGGGAAATCCTCCCGCGCGCCGGCCAATTTTTGCATGCAATACTACTAGTTTTGATGTTGTTTCTTTTCCCAAGCCGGCAACCAACTCTGTTTCCCAAATACCCATGCAACAGCGGTGTTTCGATAGCAAATCTCTTAGCGGCAACCAGGAAAGAAAAAAAAAAAGTACACCTCTGCAGTGGTGTGGATGAAA